CATATCAGAAATTCTCAGCTTCTGTGTTTTTTTGTTGTTAATCCTTACCTGAGAATATATCTTTTCCACTGATTTTTAGAGAGAGTGAAAGGGAGGGAGGGAGGGAGAGAGACAGAGAAAGAAACATCGATGTGAGAGAGACACATTGACTGGTTGACTCCTGCATGACTCTGACCAGGCCAGGGATCAAATCTCTGTAACCCAGGTTTGTGTCCTTGACTGGAATAGAATTTGAGACCCTTCATTCTGTGGGCTGAGGCTCTAACTGCTGAACCAAGCCAGCCAGGGCAGCTTCTGTGTTTTTTAACAATCGTTTTGCCTCATAAGAACACTGTTCTTTGGGGTTTTGTCCATGTTGGCTTCCTGGAAAGTCTTACCTCACTCTTTGGGAAAGCAAGTTGTATCCCTACAGTGCTTCTTCATATAGACCTCAGCTTTCGCGCGTGCTCGCGCTTTCTCTCTCTCTTTCTTTCTTTCTTCCTTTCTTCCTTTCTTTCTTTATTTTTTGAGGCTTAAAGACCTGGAGATGGTACCTTTAGTTTCTGGAGGAAGAAAGGGGAAAGAGAGAAGTTGTGTATAAAGGGAGAGGTAGAAAGAGGAAGAGGAGAGATGCTGGGAGAAAGGAAGGGGACACAAAGGGTTGGGAGGAGAGAGGTGGAGGGAGAGGCGGTGAGGAGGAGGAAGAAGAGGAAGAGGAAGAGGGGGCAGAGGTGTGGAAGAGGAGGAGAGGGGGGAAAGGAGAGAGGAGCTTCCTTTTTTTAAAAAATCTTAACCTGAGGATATTTTTCATTTATCCTTAGATGGGAGGAGGTGGTTGGGAGGAAGGAGAGAGAGAGAAAGAGAGAAAGATGGATGTGAGAGAGACATATTGATTGCCTGCCTCCTGCACAACCCTGACCAGGGCCGGGGTCTAAACCGCAGCAGAGGTACATGCCCTTGACAGGAATTGAACCTGAGACTCTTTGGTCCATAGTCTGATGCTCCAACCGCTGAGCCAAACCGGTCAGGGCGGACCTCAGCTTTCTTAGAGTATTTACATAAAACTTCACCCAAAGATCAATGAATTGCTTCAGGTCATCATTTTAAACTTAGATGTTCAAAATACTACATTTCAGTTTATCTTTGCATTGGTATTTTAGCCCCCAAATCTTTCTGTCTCCAGCATTCACTTTAATAGCTCTTATGGGTTAAGGTGAAAGTACAGTAACTTAAACTCAATAAAAAACTGCTTTAACACAACTGAACGATGGCAGAGGCAGAAGAATAAAGTTTCTTCCACTTTTCAAACTCTGATTTTTTATTATTTAAGAGGGAAACATATTTGTTGCATACTTTGTTGGCCTTTTCTTTATGTTTTTGGGGGCTAAAAATGTGTTTTCTACCATGGTATTTATTTCAATATATTACTTGCTCAGGTTGTGTTCCCTCTTCATTCTTTCCCTGTACTGCTTGCATCTATTTCCCATCTTGCACTTATTTTTGGGAAGTGGCAGTAAATATTTTTTCATGGACAATCATGTTTTGGAAAAATAGTTTTCCAAAGTGATCAACGTCATGATAAATTTTATTTCATCTAGCCATGATATATCAATTAGACTCTGGACAGGGAAACAATCCACATTGGATATACCAAGAAAATTTAGTATAGGCAATGGGTTATATAGGTGTTGGAGGGCTGAAAAGGCACAAGGGGAACACTGGAGTGACATAGACAATAATTGCAGAAAGCAGCAACCACCTATAGGGCTAGGGGATCAAAGAAGAGGTTGGAGTAGAGTTGGGGCTCAAAACCTCTAGAGCCGTTTCTGCCTGGATGTTGCTGGATGTTGCTGATACTCCTGAGGGGTGCTTCTGAGAGTGCCCGAAAACATTGGTGGCTGTCACCAACTGCTGTTGCTGGGATTGAGGACCTATGCTGGGGCTGTACTGACAGGTAAAAGCAGGTTTCTCCTTTTAGTGCCCTTATTGGCAGTATTAGGCAGCTGGCTGGCAAAAAGAGAAAAATGTTTTCTAGACTTCTGTTTTTAGCATTACTGAGCTGAGTACTTAATGGTGAATTTGGAGCTAAGAGACAATAAATGAGTAACCAGCCGTCTCATCTCTGCTTACACAATAGCATAGGCTTTTGGTTTTTTTTGGTCTCTTTCTTAGCCACTGAGACCCTACATGCTCTTAGTGTCTAGCATTTGGAATGAGAGGAGTTATTATTATTATTTTTATTTATTTTTTTTTATCCTCACCCGAGGACATTTTTCCATATTTTGTACAGCTAGAGTGGGAGGGAGGGAAAGGAAGAGAGAGAGAGAGAGAGAGAGAAACATCGACATGAAAGGGACACATCGAGTGGCTGCCACCTGCACGACCAACCAGGGCCGGGGACAAACTGCAACCGAGGTACATGCCCTTAGCGGGAACCGAACCCGGGTCTCTCCGGACCGCAGGCCGACGCTCTAACCGCTGAGCCAAACCGGCCAGGGCAAGGAGTTATTATTTTTAAATTAACTGTTTAGTTAATTTGATTTGGGGGCATGATACAGGACCATGTACTATAAGGCAACTCTGTCATAGCCTTTCTTAGGACCTGAGATTTAATAATTAGATACTTATTTCTTTGGGTCTTGAAAGGTTTCTGTTTTTCAAGATACTTTATTTAAAAAAACAAAGAAAAAAATTGTGGCAGGAATAAAGATGCTATAAACTAGAGGTTAAAACTTGGTTGTTTATTGGTCGTACAGTGGCCTGCAGTGGGATTCAATCTTTAAACAGAGGATTATACCTGCTTTCTCATTTTAATATTCTTTTTCCTGAAGAGCTTCTCAAATTTTAATGTGTATATAAATTATTTGGGGATCTTGTTAAAATCCATATTCTGATTAAATGTGTCCCTGGATAGGGCCAGAGAGTCTGCATTTCTAACATGCTCTCAGAGAAGGCTTAAAATATTGGTCCCTAGACCAGACTTTTCATCTCCCTTTCCTCCTTTGAGAACAACTGGTCAGGCTTGGATCCACTGTTGGACCTGGGTTCGGGAGGCTGAATGGTGAGTAATCATAAAGGAACAGTTTCTTGCAAGCCTCCCTAACTTTTTAGAAACATTTTGAGCAATCTTAGTAGAGGTATTAATAGTTGTTTCTTTACAGATGAGAATAGAAGGGCGTATGCCTCTGAATAAGTTGACTTTCCCCCATAATTTTGATGCTGTCCTGAATACAGAATTTCAGTAATTGTGTATATATTAAGGGAAACTTACTAATAGGAGATAAGATAGAAGGAACAGCGAGCAAATCCATGCAAGATATCTTGCCTTGATTAAATAGGCCTATCTATGGATTTCAAAAATTGCATTTGGTTTGAATTTCATACTACTGTTGACCATTGAACAGTATGGGGGTAGGGAGTGCCTGAACACCCCATGCAGTCAGAAATCTGCATATAACTATTGACTCCCCAGAACCTTAACTACTTGGCTGGAAGCCTTACTGACAGCATAAACAGTTAACATATTTTATTATTATTATTTTTTAATCCTCACACCAGCACATTTTCCCATTTTTGTTCAGATAGAGTGGAAGGGAGAGAGAGAGAAACATCGATGTGCGAGAGACACATTGACTGGTTGCCTCTCTCATGACCCTGATCAGGGCTGGGGACGAACCACAACCGAGGTACGTGCCTTTGACCAGAATCGAACCTGGGTCGACGCTCTAACCACTGAGCAAAACTGGCCAGGGCAGTTAACACATTTTATATGGTATATGTATTATATATTATATTCTTACAATAAAATAAACTTGAGAAAATAAAATATTATTAAGAAAATCATAAGGAAGAGAAAATACATTTATAGTATTTATTGAATAAATTCTGCACATAAGTGGACCTATGCAGTTTAAACCCATGTTGTTTAAGTATCAGTTATAATCGTATTTTCCCACTTTTGAAACTTTCATATACTTAAACTTGTTTTCAAAGTATTGGGTCTTGCCTTGAGCCAAATAAATGGTAGTCTATCTTAATGAAACTTTGAATGAAGCTCAGATTTATGAAGTTAACTGTTCTTTGCATTTGGATTTTACTATACCAAGGTGTACCTGATTGCATGAATAAAAGGTCAATCTTGTTTTCTGTTGCCATCCTTCAAGATCCTGTCTCTGCCCCCTTCCTCCACTCCTACTGAGTCTTTCCTTTTGTCATTATAGATTTTTCAAAGATTTTAGGTGCTTTCTTTTTGTCTATTGATGCTTTATATGAATGTTATTCTTAAAATTTTAATTCAGGTAATGGATAATAATTCAACCTATAAATAGAGAAGTGATCAGCTGAGGTGAAAGAGTTAAAATGAAAGTTAATGATTCTGGGGACTCCTACAGAAAAGAAGGGTGAAAAAAAAGCTCAATTTTAGGATCCTAAACAAAGCATTTTGATTGGCATATAGAGACCCTTGCATGCACATAAATGTTCATATTTGAATATTTATAGAAGGTAATCTGTCAAAATTACTGTTATTTTAATTTGCTAAGCTTGGCTGATTGCTGCAGTTGTATGTTAGTTGAATTCTAGATGAGGAACTGTAAATATGATCTGGTGTGGAACATGCTTTTTGTCCTTGAAGCTGTTTGGATATTCTTGTACTGTCCCCCAACTCTCCCCCCCCCACACACCTCTCTTTTCCCCCAGTGGGAGTGCTTTGTATTAGCTAAATTCATATTCCTTTTTAGGGAAAAAATTTTAAGTGGGGTAATAATGGTAAATATAAAAATTTTTTTAAAATTAAAAATAACCTGTTGACATTGACTGATCAAGAATTGTTTAAATAGATTTCATTATTTATCTTGTCTTTGTTTCAAAGGAGCTATCCCTGGAGACTTGAAGCCTAGGGACAAGTATCTCATTTGGCCTTAAGAGGGTTTTCTATGAGATGCGTTTCATGTTAACAACAAAGAAAATGTGTATGTGTAGATAATTAACGTTACCCCTTTCTTTTGTCTCATTTTGAACAGTTGATAATTTCAGTGACCCAGATTCAAGCAATAATATCTTACTTTGGAAATATCATGTGGTTTCATCAGCTTCTTACAATCTAGGGGAAGGAAGGTAAGTAAGCCATTTTTCACAGTTAATATTGAAATAACTTTGTTAATAAATTAAAATGTTCCCTTTTTAAAAGTTAGGAAACCCCTTTCTCTTTAAGTACAGAAAACACTATTATTTATTGATGCTGTGTCACTTTCTCAAAAGATTCCACTGAGACTACATAATTTCAGCTCTGGAGATGATGCACTTAGTTTCTAAACATTATGACTTCTTTGGAGCAGGACTATATTCTGTGCTCTACTTGCTAGGTTAGTTATATTGTGTCTTTTACATAGCTATTCTCACCTGAATAGTTTGTTTTTACATATATAACCACCCTACATGACTGAGTCTTTTTAAAATATTTTTTCTTTTTGATTTTAGAGAGAAAGGTAGGGAGAGGGAGAGAGAGAGAGAAACATCGATGAGAGAGAACATGGATTGACTGCCTCCTGCATGCCCACCATGGGGGATTGGGCCATGTGCTCTGACTGGGAATTGAACTGGTGACCTCTTGGTGCATGAGTGGGCGCTCTACCAGTGAGTCACAGCAGCTGGGCAAGTCTTAATTTTTTTGCTTTTGATGTTTTCGTTTCTTTATGTCTTGTAAACAGACATAATGGGATTTATTTTGTTGGTTATTACTTTAGAGAGAAATTATATCAAGTACTAAGTCTCAGTTTTACTTAGATATTAACTTTGTTTTGGGGTTTCAGGAATATATTGTATATTAGCAGATTAAGAGTGAAACTTCTTTTAGAGCATCCTTTTCTATCTTTCATATGCATCTATCTTCATTCTTATTTGACTGCTGTGTTTTGAGAAGATTAATCTTTTTTTAGGAGATTTTATATAATCTTTTACTTTATTATTGTAGTCACTTTTTACAATTCTTTGTGTGATCATTTTCAAATCATCTTCCATGTATCTCACTCTAATTCCTCATTATCCTTGTAGGAAAATTATCCAGGTCTATAGCTATCCTCTGGCTGAAGAGCAAGATTATTAATAATTCCTTAGGATGTTACCCTAGCTCCTAATTTTGTAATGGCTCACCATCTGTTCACTGTGTAAATGGCTTAGAAAGGTCTGTTGTACCTAATGCTTTGCAGATGTGGAAATAATAAAATAAAATTTACATATTTATAAACTGAATTAATGCTCATATGTTCCTTTGGGTCTGGCCATTGTCACATTCTTGCTGTGTTTCATGGCTTAATTTGCAATGTACTTTAAATTCCTTAAGGTGAATTAGATATATTCATCTTATTTAACCAGCATGCTTTTGGTTAAGTATGTTAAAACTCAATTGAATAAAATTTAAGTCAGTAATATAAAAAGTAATGAGTTGGCCCCAGCCTAGTGGCTTGGTTGGTTGGAGCGTCATCCCATGCACCAAAAAGATTGCGGGTTCAATTTCCGGTCAGGGCATATACCTAGGTTTCAGGTTTGATCCCTGGTCAGGGTGTGTTTGGATGTTTCTCTCTCTACCTTCCTCTCTCTGTAAAATCAATAAACATGTCTTTTGGTGAGAATTAAAATTTTTAAAAGTAATCAGGTGTTTTACAGTGTGATATTGAAAAAAATTTAACTGTATTTCTTGGCTATGAGAACAGATAGCACTCTATAGTAGATAAAGATTTCCTAAGGAAATTAAGTTTGATACAGGTTAATTCCACAATGATAGCAAATGTTGGGAATTTGGCACCTAAATGTCAAATTTCATATATAGATTATCACTTTCTATTGATTTTATTCCTCCAGAGGAAGAATCTTAAAATTTAAATTTGTTTAGAAGGGATTATAATACTGTTTAGGAATTAAGAAACAGGCTTTATTTTTCTGCAAATTAATTGAGCAGTAAGGGTAACCAGTGAATTGTAGTACTTACTGATAAATTATTTTTAAAAGTCCTTAATGAAAGCTTAATATTTAGGTATTTATTCAGGAAATACTTTAATTTGTAATTATGATTTCTAAGTATTTGATTGTCTACATGTTTTAATTGCTTCAGAAAGAAAAGTTGAAGCATATTGTTTAATAACTTGCATTTTAGCATTATATAAGGGTAAACACTATGATGAATCATATTTTAGGCAATTTGTATGCCATTGAGACAAATTCAGCTTTGCATTTTTTCCCACTCTTTAATATCATAAGAATGTTATCACTTTAGCAGTTAGAAAATGTGAAGGTAAAGATTGAAAATGGATATTTTTTGTGTGTCTGATTTTTGGTTCAGCATGTAAGGAGCTTTTAGAAGTTATCACTCTGTTCTAACAAATTGAAAAAATCAACAAATCTTTGTAGGTATGTCAGAGAAATGAGGTCACAAGGCAAACTGCTGACCCTCAAATTGGAGAGACAGGCAAATACAGATAATGACAACTTACCCTAGGAGAAACCCAGGAGTGAAAACCTCTAAGGGAACCAGTACTGTGTAGGAAAACCTAACCAGTAATTGGTTAAAAACTCCAATGGGACCCAGTTAATAAGGGACTACCACACTTTCATGGTTCTGCCTCCAGGTCTTCACAGTGAGTATCAGAGAAAAATCCTCTAGTGCATTCTGTAGGTAGAAGGGAAAGTAACCATTTGGAAATATGCCAAGGCATTCTGTTTTTCTTAATAAGGTCCACCTTTAGGAGAAAGTATTTTTCTAGAGCCTGAACTTATTAGGGTGTTATCAGAGCCTAACTGACCTGGAAGAAGGGATATATCCAACTCTAGCCTGTTCTAGCCATCTTGTTCCTCCTAATCGTAGGGGGTGGGAGAGTGTAAAGAACAAGACTGAGACCTAATTATAGGACTATAAAAGCTTCTCCCCTCACACCTTACCATATTACTTATTTTTTGAATTAATTTTTCTTTTATTAATTTTTTAGAGAAGAAGGGAGAGGGGGAGAGAGATAGAGATGAGAGAGAACATCGATTCGCCACCTCCTTCATGCCCCACACTGGGGATTGGGCTCACAACCTGGGCATGTGCTGTGACCAGGAATTGAACTAGCAACCTCTTGGTGCGTGGGTCGACGCTAAACCACTGAGCCACACCAGCTGGGCTTACCACATTACTAATACCTATTTGCTGCAGTTCCTTTTACTTAGTACATTTATACTTGGCTTCCAACAAAAAAATTACAAAGCATACTAAAAAGCCATAAACACAGGTTTTAGAGAGAAAGAAAGCATCAGAATCAGTCTCAGATATGGCAGGGATGTTGGAATTTAAAACAACTATGATTGCTTGGCCTGTTTGGCTCAGCGGTTGGAGTGTTGGCCTATGGACCAGAGAGTCCCAGATTCGGTTCCCGCTAGGGGCACATACCAAAAAAAAATTAAAAAATAAAACAATTATGATTAATATGTCAAGGGCTCTAATGGAAGAAGTAGATAACATGGAAGAACAAATGGATAATGTAAGTTAGAGAGATGGAAATGCTAAGGAAAAAAAATCAAGAAGAAATGCTAGAGATAAAAAACACTATAATAGAAATAAAGAATGCCTTTTATGGTCTCCTTAGTAGACGGGACACAGATGAGGAAAGAATATCTCTGAGCTTGAAGATATGTCAGTAGAAACTTGCAAAACTGAAAAGCGATGAGAAAAATGACTGAGGAAAAACCCAAAAAACAGTAAAAACATATTCAAGGACTGTGGGACAACTACAGAAAGTGTAACATATGTATACCAGTAATACCAGAAGGATAAGAAAGAGAAAAAGGAACAGAAGAGATATTTGAAGCAATAATGACTGATAATTTCTCCAAATTCATGTCAGATTTCAAATCACAGATTCAAGGAATTCAGAGAACACCAGGAGGATATGTGACCAAAGAACTTCAACTAGCCACATTACACTCAAACTGCAGAAGCTGTAGGGGGGAAGATACCACCTTATCTATAGAGGAGCAAAAATAAGAATTATATCTGATTTCTCTTCAGAAACAATGCAAGCAAGAACAGTTAAATATTTAAAGTTTTGAGACAAAACCCCCCAACAATCTAGCATTCTGTATCCCACGAAATTATCCTTCAAAAGTGAATGACTTATGGTACCAGTCCAAAGTTTGTGTGCCCAACACTTCAAAAGGTCAGTGTTCAAAATGTCAGAGTTTGTAGTAAGACTTTTCTTGATTGAGAAGGCACCAGCTTGAGAAGATGGGGATGCTTGCAGCTTCTTAAATCCATCTTAGGCAAACACAAAGTCCAGGCTTCTTTCAAATCAAAAGAAGGGAAGATGGGAGAGGCTGTTTTATAAAAACTCAAGCCCCAAGCAGAATTATTATTATAATTAGCATTTCTAAAAGCAGGAGTTATTAGCTTGAAGGCCATGAGAACAAAGGAAGCCCAAATAAGATGGGCACTCTGTTACACTTAGGCAAACAGAAATTCAGAGAATTTGTTGGTAGTAAGCCTGCCTTGCAGGATAAAGTAAGTTTTTCAAAGAAGGGAAATTGTATATGCCAGAAACTTGGATCTATGTTATAAAAAAGGAGCAACATTAGAGAAAAGAATAAGTGAAGGAATAATGAAAACTTTTATTTTTCTTATTCTTAATTGATCTAACAAATAACATAATTTGTTCAAAATAATAACAGTATGTTAAATGAAAATATATAAATGAAATGAATTATAGCAATGATATAAGGGTTGGGAGGGAAGAATTAGGAATATTCTATTCTAAGATACTTGTACTACCCATGAAGTGGTATTGTTGCTGGAAAGGGGAACTGGCCCTGAGTGGGTCTGCCTAGGGCCAGCCGGTAGTGTGTGGGTTCTTGACTTCATTCAGGGAAAGATTTCACAAAATGAGTGATTTTTAGAGGACATTTATTAAATCTGGGGTCAGATAAACAAGAAAGGCCTAGGATAGAAGAAGCAATAGGAGAAGGACTAAGTGGGGAAATGAGCCTAGGCTGGGCTGCTTTGGCTCACTAAAAAGTCAGAGAAAAGAGGGCCTTGGGTACAGGGTCAGAGAGGTAGCCTGGGATGAGATGCTGCTGCCTATTGCTCCATGGTTGCAAGCCTCATGGGGTCCCTTAGAGTTTAGGACATGCATGTCAGGGGAAGGGAAAGGTGTGGGTGTGCTCCTGGGAGGGAGGGTGTGCATTTTGACCTTTGTTTTGAGGGGCTTTAAAGGCTGGAAGTTTAGGGGAGGGCCTTAATAGAGTAATCATCAGTTTTATGCTGATATACCAAAATAAGACTTATACCCTTAAGTTTATCTGTACTTGGATGTGGTTGGCAAATGTCACTAATTGGATTTCTGCTATCTTCCTAGTGAAAGGGTCAGTAATGTTTTAAAGGGTAAAGGTAAAAGCTTACAAAAGGCGGAAACTGAAAAATTGTGTTGCTTGCATGACCTTTGCTAAGCCTTCTGTTGAGTTCAGGGATAAGGATTATCTGGAATAACCGCAAAACAATGAATCACACAGCAGGTACAGCACTAGATACCAGACCAGTCCAACTGCAAAGTGGACAATGGACCAGGCAGAGTAGTCAGCAGGAACTTCTGGAAGCTGAAAGTAGAGTATATAACCTACACCCCAATTGTTATTTGATACTGAACCCTTTTTGGCTCAGCCCGCCTGCACTCAGGCGCATGCAATGAAGCCATTTTGCTCTACATTGGCCTTGTGTGTGGATGTGATCTGCCGGCTCAGACCTTTTACTGAGTAGGGTGATTTAAGCTATTTTCCCCATGGTAGGGGAGAAAGGTAAACTATTTACTCTTAAGTGTCCTTGGTTTAGGAAAGATAGGATTTTGTGATTTCTTAGGTGGCTGTAAACTACTTGCCTGTTTAACTATCGGTCTCATCTCTATTCTGCTTGTTCTGGTTTCCTAGCCTGTCTAATTCCCTTCCCAGAAAATTTTCACCCCCGAAATCTTTTAGGGGTTATGAGGGAGTGAAATCTTTTAAGGGTGTCTGTCTTCAGTAACTGCTTTCTGCTCATAAGGGCTGTGGTCTATATAGGGTATGGAATTCTCTCCCTGCCCCATTTAAGGGAGACAAAGGAATGGGATTTGAGACTGGAGCAGACAGGTGGTTAGCTGATCCTTCCAAAGTAGGGATAGGCTGGAGTTCCCAAAGCATTATTCTCTTGAAATGGAATTGTATCATTCCAGAAGCAAAGTTGGTAGATTGCTTCATATCTATCACTGACTCAGTTATTTAATCCTGAAAATAAGTTCATTCAGTTAAATTGTTGAGTCTCACTTCAGGAAGTGATGATGTAGATGGGTTTCCAAAGTGAGACCTATATTGTGTAAACAAGCAATCAGGTATTTACTAAGGAGTATGCCTATGAAGAAAAAGGTTAATAATCATAGCAAATTATAAACCAGCTTCTGAGTCTGTAAGACTGTCAGTCTGGAAGACTTAAAGTTTCTTTTGCTGGAATGAAAGCAAGCAGTGACAATCTGATTATCTTTATTTGTAGTTTAAATATCTCTGGTGATGTCATCAGATACTTAGGTAAATTTTGTATGGTTGACACTGTATCAGTAGTTCTCAATAATTCCAAGTTAAAGGATAGGGAAACAAAGGAAACATTAGTTTGGAGAGTTGTAGCCAGATATTTAAGAAAACTAGAAAAAATCAGGATCCAGTTTAGTTTATAGGTGAAAAATAAAACTTTAACTAGACTCCAATATCCAAAACTGTGTCTTATAGATTCCATTAAAACACAGTTCCCCCCACCCCTAAAATTGCCTTCATTTTTATCAAAGAGAGCCAAATCAAGACTATTTACTGCATTAAACCCAGTTTCAATTTGGCCCGATTGTTTGCATAAACACAGCAGGAATAGCAATTGATCATATAGGCTTTCTTAAATCTGCTTTGCTGGGGTCTCATAAGGAATCTCCAGATTGAGCTTTAATTAGCCCCTCAGGGCAAAGAAGCCAAACCACATAGTTGACATTAGGCTTTTCATTCAATACCTATAGTTTTGGATGAATTCCTAGAGTTCCAGGTCCCCAGTATGTATCGAGGTTCTTCCTTTGCCATCTCCCACCACAGCAACCTTTGTTCCTTGCTTGGAAAGACTGCCATGAACTATGAGAATAAGCAACATACCAGGCCATTTTTCCAAGGGGCTCTTATCAGCTTCAAGGTCAATCTTTATTCCTTAAAGCTTTCTGGTGACATCCAGAGTCCAGGCTTGTCTGTCCCAAACATGACATTCCAGTTAAGTCTTGGTTAATAAAACCACAATTGGAAATTGTTTTTATGTGTCTCATTATAAAGAGAACAGATTCTTATTGGATTCATGTAAACAAACATATTTCTATGAAAGTAATAATATTTGTTAAGAGTTGCCAAATTCTAGAGGAATTAGGTAGGGAGAAAAATATAAATGCTTCAATATTGCTTATGAGGGTATAATTACCAAACTGCTCTAGAGAAAAACAAATTTCCTTATATCTGGTAAACAAAAAGATTGAAAAATCAGCAATATTTGGAACAAAGTCATAAGAATATTAATTATCCTCAGTTCATTCAGTCCCATATAATCAATCTTTGTTTATTCTGATTATTTGCCAGTATTTCCATGAGTCCAGTTATTTTTTATAGTTCTAGACATCTTTATCTACTTCAAAGATGTGACCTGCTTAGAAACCTGTAATTTTAGAGTAAGTCAGAGTCTTTTTCATGGATCTTTCTAAAGATGTAACATATTTGTAAATGCATTAGAGTAAAACAATGACTGTCTATAAAAGATAAAACTTGTAATGACATGATTATAAGTCTGATTGTAATGCAGTTGATAAAGGAGTTTGATTTTCTGTAAGATATAATATGCCAAGATAATTTCTTGGTGAACAGTAATTACTAGGAAATGACATTAAAAAATACAAAGCCCCCAATGTATGGACTACAGGCACCCAAAGTATCACTGCCCAATGCTGCCACAGGCAATCATCACTTTTGGCTTGCCTGGTGTCACTGACACCTGCTACCCCTGAGAGTATTCTTTTTTTTTTTTTTTCTTTTTATTCTCACTCGAGGACATTTTTTCATTTTTTGTTCAGATAGAGTGGGAAGGAGAGAGAGGAAGAGAGAGAGAGAGAGAGACATCGATGTGAAAGGGACACATCGAGTGGCTGCCACCCGCACTACCAATCAGGGCCGGGGACAAACTGCAACCGAGGTTCACGCCCTTAGCGGGAACTGAACCTGGGTCTTTCTGGACTGCAGGCCGACGCTCTAACTGCTGAACCAAACCAGCAGGGCCCTGAGAGTTTTCTGTTTGAACTTGGCTCTGAATCTTTGCAACTTCTTCCCTAGGGAAAGCTGAAATCTCTAGAACATCCATTTTAATAAAAATATATGTATAGAAATAGAACATAGTTTGTTTATTTATATTTTGGCAAAACTTCCCATGTAATTTCAAGCATATCAAAATAGGCTTTATTAGTTTAAAATTTCTCTTTTGTAAGAAGAAAGAACAAAATCCTTGAGGTATTTCACGGGCCCATTGGAATAATTCATAGTTATTTCTTGGTTTAAAAAAAGTCTCTTAAAATTAAAATTTTGGGAAGCCTGTCAAACAAATTTAACCAAAAGATTATGACATGAATTTTTTTGTATACCCAGGTAAAAACGCATATTTTATGGTAATAACTCTAAAAGATGTTAATCAAAATTAAAACAGTTTTAGTATCAAATATTTTGTCCAGACCACAGAATCCTGCTTAATTTATATAAGTATTTAATCTCTTTAGGCCAATAAAATATTATGCCCCAGTAATGCCATCCAGAGGCAGAAAATATACCACATATTATTCACAGATGAACAATATTACATGAAGACCATACACATGAAGACCAAACACATGAAGACCATATACATAGTCTGAATTACTAATTTTTATAGAGAAATCACAAGATTTTTCTCATTTGCTTTTGGTAACTTTTAGGAAGGCTGGAGAAGGGGATGATACCTGGCAAGGGGAACTTTAGCTGCTTATGGTTTTAAAGTGGCACTTTTTTCCTTTGGTTACCTCAGCCTTGTATATATTCCTAATCAACTAGTAGGAAATCCTGTTGAGACTTTCAAAGATAGACTTCAAGGGCTGTGAATGAG